CATATGGAGATCCCTAAACCAGCAGAGAGGTTTCTGAGGTTTTTTTCCCCACAAAGATAGTAAGGACTAAACAAATGAAGGGTCCTGTTTGTGCATGGATCTGGAAGTCAAAGAAATAAACTTTTTAGTTAGAAAGTAGTGCTTAACTTAAGATTTTATGGCAAAACATTTTAAATCACTGCATTGATTCTGAATTTGTTCTCCCTTTATATTTGAAAAATATCAGGTACACCAGGGGTTCCCAAACTGTGGTCTGTGTACACCTGGGAGTACACAAGACATCTCTGGGGGATACGAGGGAGAAATTTTGTAACGGCAGATTTAATTTTCATTATCATAATTGGCATTTAAGGGGTTAAAATATAAAATGGATGCTGATAGAGATACACGGGCAGCTGGTAAATCTGGAAGGGGGTATGCAATAAGAAAAAGTTTGGGAATCTCTGACGTACACCATTCAATATCGCAGTAAATATCAGTGGCTATTCTAGATTATATTGATTGATAAACACATGGTATTTAGTGCCCAGAACCATGAAATACTGTACTTGGAAGACCACCTGGGTGGAGATGCTATATATGTCTTCCTATATGTTACCTGTGGCTGGGGTATTTAACATATAATTAAGCTTAGTCTGTGAGCATTATCACACTAAAACACTGATCTTTCAGTTTTGTATAATTTCTTTGTCTCTTAGATTCATGATATACCCAAGATATGAAGTATATCATAATCCATAATCATGCTCCAGTTAAAATCCATTGAAGTGTAATAAAACAAATAGATGTCCACTACTAAGGGTTATTATCTTCACTATACAAAAAGAATCAACTTACCATATTTAAAAATTTTGCTTATAAAGTTGTAAAGCTTTCCCAGCTATATATTCAATGAATTCAGAGCTCTCGGTATCTAAATCATGTGGAACCTTAATTGTGAAAGTAGGTGAAGTCAGAATATTCACATCTACCACTGTTTCATTTGGACTGGAAGAATCCCCAGGTGACACCTGTAAGAGAACAATTTAGTACTTTGAATACCATAACTTCAGATAATTTGTCAATATTATTTATACCTATTTTGCATTCTTCTCACTGGAAGTGAGGGGACACAAAAGAGAACTATTAAAAACTTGGTTATTTTTCACCCACTAACTTTCTTCTGAAGTGAACTGTATTTTTCCGAGTTCAAGCTAATTGACATTGGAGGCATTGTTGGGGTTGGCTTGGTAATAGAGCACTACCATATTGGAGATTTGCAAAGTAATATTTATACAATGCTTCACTAGTGTTAGACATTATTATTGCATGTAAAATAAACTTCTATCCTCTTGTTTTCTACAAAAGTGAAAACTAAAACCCAATCTTGCAAACATGCATGAGTCATACTAATACTTTCAGAGGACTGCTCATGCAATTGAAGTTATTAATTTCTACGTGTTCATAAACTCAGACCCTGCATCTGCATCTATAATTTCCTAAGCAGACAATTTAAAGTTCACTTGGAAAATGTTTGTAAATGTTGTTAGTCCTTCTGTTCTTATTTTACGTTTTTCTTAGGCCAAAAGTTCACGGGGCTGAAAAGGACCAGATGGGTCATGAAGTCAAGTCTTATGCAACCATGCCATAAATATTTAGGTCCACAAGTACACCCACTTTATTCTGAGCCAAAGCCCTCTTTGACAAGCATAATAAACTTAGACTCTTTAGTACAAAAAAAAACAGAGCCTCGAAAACTTATAACAAGCAACAGGAAGAGTCCAAGGGAGACCGTGGGCACTCCCAATCCAAGGTACAATCTTCAGTACAATCAGATAACCATAGAAAGTGTACTATGCTACCTACAACAAAGGAAAGCAACCCTACCACCCAAGGTTTTTGCCAGGCTGTCCTGAGATAAAGTTCCTTCCTATCCCAAATCTCCGACAGTCAGTTTGAGCTTGAGTATAGGAGTAAGACATACCTAGCACACCCCAGACAATCTACCATCTCTACCTGTAGCCAATATACAATGCTTCATAGGAAGGCAAAACAAAAAGGCAAGTAATGTATAAAGAAGAAAAAAAAAGATCTTTCTGGCCTTTTCAAGAGATCAGCAGAAGCCCTGAAGCATATAGTATTATGCAGAATATAGTATTATATTAAAAAACTCAAGAAAGATGAGTATGGAAAGGAAACCTAATCCAGAAAGGTCATGATAACTCCCTACCTGGCCTTTCTGACTTTCAAATACAAACTAAAATTCTAGGTAAACTAAACTAAGGCACATCTTCAAGAATGCATCATATTCTCCTCAAGAACCCCCAGACAATGAAACCCTACAATACAAAAATACTCTAAGGGTGACCT